AAAAAAAAAAACAACAAAAAAAACCCCAGAAACTCTCAAAATAACTAAATAGAGTACCTGAGCTTAAGAATGAAAAAAATAATTTTTTTTCCATTAGGACAATGACTAGTTTTGAAAGTAAAACCGAAAATTATTAACATTAATTTATGGGATAAAAAATTAATTTCTCTATCCCCCAAAATGATCATGGCTATATAAACATCTTAATGAACTGCAGTCATAAATGTATGTGGTTCGAATTCACCAGCTCTCTGCTGGTGTATTTTCATTCTCTTTGCTCCATGGGAGAAGAATGGGTAATCTCCTCCAGTGCGATTAACTGCCTCTGAAAACCCATGGGAGGGTCAGCTATGAGTCGGTTCCAACTCTGTGGTACTCAACAATAACAACAATATATCCCCTAGAATGATCATGGTCATAAATCATTTTCCTACCTGGTAGAAAGATAGTTTTTTATACTGACAAAGTAGTTATACTATTTTCTTCACACTCAGAGGAAAGTAAGTTTATTGAAACCACACACAGTGCCAATTACCTGGGCTAATCAATTAGGCCCCAGGAATTGATGGGATACCAACTGACTTGTTTCAATTAGCAGATGCAGTCTTGGATGTACTCACCAATTTATGTAAGGAAATTTGGAGGAAGGCTGTCTCGCTAATATGTTGGAAGAGGTCCGTATTAGTTCTCATTCCCAAGAAAGGTGATCCAACTGAATGTGGAAATTATTGAACAATATCCTTGATATCACATGCAAGCAAACTACTGCTGAAGATCATTCAAAACTGGCTGGAACTGAACATAGATAAGAAACTACAAGAAGTTCAAGCACGATTTAGAAGAGGTCATGACACCAGAGATATCATTGCTGTTGCCAGATGGATCCTGGCTCAAAGTAAAGAATACCAGAAGAATGGCTATTTGTGCTTTACTGACTAGGCAAAGGAGTTTGACTGTATGGATCATGACAAGTTGTGGCTGATATTGAGAAGAATGGGAATAGCAGAGCACTTGATTGTGCTCATGTGGAATCTATACCCGGAACAGGAGGCTGTTGTGCGAACAGAGCAGGGGAGCACTGCATGGTTCAGAACTGGGAAGGGAGCGCACCAGGTTTATATTCTCTCTCCATACCTATTCAGTCTGTATGCTGAGCAATTTATCTGAGAAGCTGGACTCTATGAGGAGGAGTGTAGCATCAGGACTGGAGGGAGACTCATCATCAATAACCTGTGTTATGTATATGACACAACTTTGATTACTGAAAGTGTGGAGGCCTTGAAGCACTTGTTGTAGAAGACCAAGGAATGTAGCATTTGGTATGGACTGCATCTCAATGTCAGGAAAACAAAGATTCTTACCAGTGGACTGATAGGCAGCATCATGATGGAAGGAGAGGAGACTGAAACTGTCAATAGCTTCACCTTGCTTGGATCCACAAATAACACCCTTGGTACCAGCAGTCAAGAAGTAAGGAGATGCATGGCAAGGGGAAATCTTCAATTAGGAATCTTTCCAAATTATTGAGAAATAGTGATGTCAGTTTGAGGAAAAAGGTACATCTGTTTCAGGCCATGGTCTTTCCAATTACTAGCTATTATGCATCTGAGAGTTGGACAATGAATGATGACAGAAAATTTTTTTTAAATTTTTATTTTATTTTATTCTTTTTTGTGTGCGTGTACCGTCAAATCAGATCTGACTGGTACAGGAGGAAATTGCCCCTCCTTCCCCGGCAGAGCATCTGGTGGATTCAAACCGTGCACTTCTGGGATTGTAGTTGCAGCTTCTTGCCACTAGGCCACCAGAGCTCCCCAAGAAAAATAATTGATGCCTTTGAGCTGTGTGGTGCTGGAGAAGAACACTGAACATCCCATGGACGGCCAAGAAAACAAAGAGCTATGTCTTGGAAAAGTGCTCTTTGGAGGCAAGAATGATTAGGCTTTGCCTTACATACTTTGGACATGTTGCTAGAAGGTGCTATTCCCTGGAGAAGGATATGATGCTGGAAAGGGTACAGGGTCGGTGAAAGAGAGGAAGATCTTCAAGATCCTCAACTAGGTAGACTGTCACAGTGACTGCTGCAATGGGCTCTTTTCTGGGGAAAAAAGTGTGAGGATGGAGCAGGATAGAACAGGGTTCAGATCTTTTGTTCATAGGGTTGCTATGAGTCGTGCTTGACTCGACAGCACCTAACAACAACAAAAACAAGGGGACATTAGGGCTCTTCACCCAAGGACTGAGCTGCTTAGAGAACCACGGTTTTGTCCTGAAGTGGTTGGCTCTTCAATCAGTCCTTTCACAAGCAGCTTACCTACTGACCCCTGCTCAGGCTGTACTGAACTCAAGTACCAATCTCTGGACAGAGATGACAGTCTCCAATGGCCTTGCATCAAAATATGGCAGCTGAAGGACAGAGCATTTAGTCAGGGTTAATGAAGACACTCTTAGAAGGAATTTCAGACTGAGGACTTAGGTGTCAAGAGCTTTATAAGATGTAATAATGGGGGGAAAAATTAAAATCTAAGGTTGCACAAAGCATTGTAAACAGCAATGATCATTTTCTTATAAATGTTAAATTCAATTACATAAAATGAACAAATAGAAACTAGGACAACAATAAAAATACCTAAGAACTTTTTTTCTCCCCTCTCAGCAACAAAATTCCTGGGTAAACAAAAGTTCAAACTCCAGGAGCTCTGTCATTCCACATTCCTCCATAATCAAGCACTGCCATTGGCTCTCATTAGCAGAAAGTGCCCATCTGGGAGTATTTGGCTGCTTCCCCAATCTCCATCCAGTGATGCTGAATGCTGTGACATTGATGTATCAAATGAGATAATGGTTACCCATGGTGGACAGTGTTTGGTGGAGCTCCTCGATTAAAACAAACTTGGAAGCAGGATTGGCATCCACTTCCGAAACAGCTTGCCTCCAGAAACCCTATGAACCTTGAGAAAGGATGAAAGTTATACAAGTGTTCAGGTCTTTCGTTCATAGGGTCGCTATGAGTCATCTACAACTTGACAGCACTTAACAACAACAAGCAAAAGTTCATCTATTCCTAAATTCATTTCTATCTTTATTTAAAAAGTAGATTTTTTAACAAAATGTTCAACTAAATTGCCGAGCAGATTAATTTCTTAATTTTGGTCTTCCCATTAGTTTAAAAAAACCCAATAAACTCCAAAACCTCATTGTCACCGAGTGACTGTGATTCCCAGTGACCATGTAGGGCAGAGAACTTCCCCACAGTTTCCAAAGTATACATTTTTACCAAAACAGACGGCCATATCTTTATCCCATAGAATAGTTGGTGGGTTCAAACCTCTGACCTTTCTATAAGCAGCTGAGTGCCACCAGGGCTCCTTCTCCATTAGTTACCTTTATAAAAATGTTGAGTTTCAAAGTAGTAGACACATAAGCATTTATAGACACCTTGAGAAAAATTAAAACAGAAACCACAGATAAGCAAAAGACAAAGGAAACAAACTCTGGTGTAGTGTTTATTGTAATTTATATTCTTCTTCTATAAATGATTAGGGTGTTAAAGTAAAATGATCTTAATCTAAGCACTGTATGAATCATTATAAAATGTTCCAACCTTTAAAAATTAGGAAAGACTTTTTAAGATCTCATTAATGTAGTTATAAATGTCAGCTATTATTCTACTGGTCAACTTTGGTCTGTATTTTCTCGGCCTCTTTAGGCCAAGAATAGCAGTCAGGTAAAATCTGGTCATAGTCAGTGTTGTACATTTGAGAGAAAACAAAGGCCTTCTTGTTTTCGGGCTCAGGATAAACTGTGGCTGTCTTCTCCTGATATGCATCTTTCACAATCTACAAATAAAATTAAAAAATTACTTACTTTACTACTACATACAGGTGATGATAAGAACAAGACAGAAGTTACTGTCAGTTATAAAAATTAGTTCTTAATTTATATTTTCTCTGCTTCCCCCCAAATTAAGTAATACTCTTGTGAAAAATACACACCAAGGAAGATGTAAAATAAAAACACAATTGTTAATCAAATACTAAAAAAGGAAAATAGCATAGCAAGAGTGGAAGATGGTATCACCAACTAAGAAAAGTATGAATGTTGTTGTTGACCTGGAGTAGCTGAATCAATGAAGGAAGGTGTGAACAGTAGATATTCATTCGAATGTGATCACAGCAGCTTGACTCTCAAAGAAACTAGTGTTGATGTGATCTAACAATTTACTTGAATTGAAAACCTGTCATCTTGAACTTGAATATCTTGCATTTTCAAGAAGCTTTACCAGGACCACACTGTTCTAGAATTTTTAAAATTTATTTAGAATTATTGTTGTCATTGTTGTGTTTGGTTGAGTTGGAACTGACCTTCCAGTGGGTTTTTAGAAGCAGTGAATCACATGCGAGGAGTCTACCCACCCTTCTTCCATGGAGCAGGTGGTGGATTTGAACCCAGTGCCTTTGGGATGGACTACTTACTCAATTTCACTCATCCTTGTCAATATCACGGAATCCCTTGTCTCCATGTGTTTTGACCCCTAGTATGGGGAACTCTCCCTGTCTGAGGGACCCTCTTAGTGGTGGCTTTCTCCCATCATGGCTGTCCATCATTACCATGCTACGGGCCTGCTGTGATGACATGCATTCCCTCACTATATTTAGGCTCACTGAAATCTTCCATAATTACTCTTTTATTCTTTAAAAATACTTCCCTTCATAATTCCCAAAGACAATTCCAAACTTTACCCTATTTTCAAGTCTCCAATTGTACTCAGAATAGTCTAAGAGGAAATTATCTTAATTTATCAATGCACACCGTCTTCTCCATCTCTTATACATTTTGTGTGAAAGACTTATTTGGATGACTTTCATTTCAAAGAATCTCTTAAATCTTAAGTATCTCTTCTTTATGAAAAAATTATAGACTATGCAGAAGCATAAAGAAATGTCTGAGAGGAAAACATCAGGAAACAAAAGCATGTGCACATTATGATGATAAAAATGTTATGAAAGAAAACATGAAAACAGATTAGAAATATACATATTGAAATGATAACAATGCTTAAGTTTGAAAAGTAGATCAGCTATTCTCCTTTTCTTCATTTTCCAAAGTGCATATATATATGCCATTATTATTTAGTAGCTTTATTGACACCCAACACAATTCAATTATGTTAAGTGTACAATTCACTTACATATTATAAATTAACAGCATTTTGCAGCTACTATCGCATGCAGTTTCAGAACATTTTTATCACCCTACTTACAATGACTGTAACACTTTCATGATAAAGCCTTTTGGTTTCACTAACAGACACGTGGAAGTTTACCTCCTCTGTGCACTCCACAAGGCTAACTCCTTCAGCAGCACATCTACCACCTAACAACTTTTGAGTTGTCCTTTGCTTTCATTATTTTAATTACTTCCAAGTATTATTATTTTTTTAGTTTGTATT